CTCTGATGGGATTGAAGACTACATAGTTATAGTTTCATAGTTAGGCTTAAGTTGATAGGATTTAAGAAAACATTTCAAGGTCTAGAAAGATGCTTTTTTAAGTTAATAAAATCAAGATATGAAAGAGTACAAGAATGACCTAGGTACAGAACTTTGGACTCACCTAGATAGGGTGAATAGTATTTTCTTCAAGCTTGCAAAATACAAATGTGCTAAACATTTTGAGTATAACTTTTACATATGGCTTTCCTGATTGTTTCATAACTGTTTTTATTGTATGTAGCTTATTATCAATAAATAAAGTTCATATGCATTTGGGAAAAAAAGAATATACTCTTAAGTAATCTTGGTCTGAAAGTCCCTCTTTCTTGAGCTCTCAGTGGCTTGAATTTGTCCAGTAAAAGGGCCTTTGACACTGGACCCTGTCTACTACACCTTCTCTGATGTAGATTCATATCTGACCAGACAGGAAATGAATCTCATCCTGGTGAGGGATCTTTAAGCAGTGCTGTTTTCCCAATTTGTGCAGAACGAGGAAGAAATTGACAGGATCAAAATGCTACAAGACCAGAGGCAAAAACTGCCTGGGCAATAAAGAGACCAACAAAGATTGGAACTATGCATTCTAGCTTTTCCCAGAGAACTAGAGGTGATCAAGGGATATATGGAGGTTACCTGACAACCAGCTGGACCTCTAGAAGCATTGCGCTCATTATAGTTCTTTCAAGCACAGGGATATTTTAGAAATTATTTTGGATATCTGTATAAGCCAATAACAAACAACATAACATCTCAACCCCTTGAAGAATGAGGAATGGACAGAGAAAGAGTTGGGGGAGAGGGCTGTAAAAAACATACCAGCATCAAAATATAACACTGAGAATGGAGGTAGCCTGCTGAGACAGGAGACAAGACAAGCAGCCTGGCACTCAGTGCCTGTTCTGTCAGGAAAGGACCAATTAACCTGTCTCACAGCTAAATCTGCATGTGGTACCCCCCCCCCCCCCTGGCTAAGCCTCTGAAGAAAATGTCTTACTCCTTGCAATCATTAACTGCATATGATTCCTCAGAGGGTTGGGTCACTTTCTGTGCTTGTCTACACTTCTTATTCCTTGAATCTTCTCCTGTCCAAACTGAGACCCAAATCCTCTGAGTTTAATACAGGTGCTCCTCCAGCAACGAAGGGGCTAATTCTCAAAAAACCTAACGGAAAGTGTTATAAGTTGAAAATACCCTTAGTATACCGAGCCTGTCCCTAGCAGAGCACAACAGCACGTGGCCAGTACAGTGTTGATTTCCTCTAGGTGACATGAGACTGAATGGGAGCTGTGATCCCTGATGCTTCTCAGCACACTTGGGATATTGTGCCATGAACAGCTAGGCCTGGGAGAAGGCCTGGATTCAAAATTTGAAGTGTGGTTTCTATTGAACCTGTATCACTTTCAATACCATCATAAAGATGAAAAAAATTGTAAGCTGGACCACTCGGAGCGGGAACTGTATTTCAAATAGTCTCCTGCATTCTCCCCCCCCCCATCCTTATGTAACTGCATTGAGTATCACGGAAAGTGCTCAGCCAAGTGGAACCAAGGAGGATGTTTGTGCCTGAAGAGAGAGCTCCAGACTGCAGCCCCATAAAGCAGGAAATTAGAAACTGAAGAGCTAATCTGAGATAGAACTCCACAGAAAAGATTGGTCCCAGAAAACGATGCAAACTGAATTAAAGAAAGAGCTACGCGAGGACACCTCTGACATATGATTTGTAAGGCCGCCTGTATTCTTTTTTGTCCTGACTAGCTCTACAAAGACAGCGGACAGAGAATACTGAGGTAGTTCTGTGCCTGGCCATTGTGAGTTTCTTGTTATGCATCTCCTGAGAGCAGGCTCCCGTGTGTTTTTGTGAGGAAGGTGACATGGCCTCACATTGGTAGCACCTTCTCAGCCATCCCTGCAGTCTACTGGGAACCCAGGAGAACCCCGAGCTACTGATGTGTTCCTTGGAAGAGATATGGTTTTTAACTATTCTAACCCAGTTTTGACTCGTGATCAGTTTAGAGAAAGTCCTGTGTTGTGAGCCAGTCCAATTGAGAACCTCTTGCCCCTTCCAGAATTTCTCTCTTGTGTAAATGAAATGGTGTGCCTATGTGAGGCTTACAGCTTATCGCTTTGCCTGTGCATGAGGTCTCTAAGGAAGAAGGCAGAGAAGAAAGAACGGTGGAGAAATTGAGCTAGAACTCTTATCGAAGTATGCCTTCAGCCTGCGCTGCCACGAAACTGTTAAAAAATGGGAGCACAATTAAAAATCTCTGAGCAGATTTACTTATACATTGTGCTTTTTAGTTACCAAGGTACCCTCTTAGGTAATGACAATTGAGACTATTATCAGCCCAGCATGAAAAGTGTGGTTATATCCATTTTATTCATGTAATTTCATGTCGTCTGATGCCCTATTCTGAGTCACTCTTATAAAGTGACCCTGTGTTGGAATGACATTCATTCCAGTGAATTCCAACAGAAGTGGTATTGGATGACAATTTATTGCCCATTTTATAGCAATTCTTTCACCCTCTGTGCTTTCTTTTTAACAAAACTTAAACTTTTTCTTTTCTTGCCTTGTCCAGCTCTCTCTCTCGGCTACTGGCATGATGCTTGAGGCTTTGTCAGCTATTCTGTCAGAGCATAAAGAAGTAGGTAGCTTGTCAAAACAGCCAAGAGGACAGATAGAAGAGCATGAGCCTTGATCACACCACAGGGCAGCTAAATAGCACCATCAGACACCTTCCTCCAGAACTCTGGCATGTGAAAAAAAAATCACAAGCCAAGCTTTCCAGTATTTACAGCACAATTGTCTCTTCTAACTCACACATGTTACTATGAGAAAGTCAGTCAGTTTTTCCTCAGACAAGATGAATATGTTCAAGTTAGACTATAGACTTTGTGACTCTTCTGACTCAGTTTCCTTCTCATGTGTGTCCTACCTCTGAGGGCTCTTAAATATATATATATATATATATATATATATATATATATATATATATATACACAACAATTACTAGAACAGCCACACGAACTGCGCCATCGTCAAGACTCATTAGCAAGCATGGCAGTTGGCTTTTCTCTGGGACATAATCATGTCTTAGTTGAACAATGTGTGCTTTAAATTCTACCTTGTGCTTTGTTAAGACAGACCCCTTGACTATTGGAGAAAGACTCAGAGATGCTGAATTACATTGACCAGACTCTAGTCACTAGAGCCTTGAGGCAAGTTGGTAAGACTGAAAAGTGGCTTTCAGGGCCAGCCCATTTCCCAGTGGGGACATGTCTCTGTTCGTCCATATATCTAGATGACCTTGCTTTGGTCAATATCACTTTATTATAGACATCAACAGGCCTAATTTTGTTATAGATAAATGGAAATGCTTATTGGAGTGAAAATTACCTCTATTTCTTCCTGGCATCCATCCTGTAGGAGGTCTAAGGAGTCCTTTAACTGTAGTGATTGGCAGGGTGCAGCTGCTACTGGGAATCACTGAGGTATGGTACGCGAAGAGACTCATTTTTGAACAGAAATATTGCATGTTTTGAACTCCTTTTTTAATCATCGGTGGCTATCAAATAATAAATAATTCGCTCCCTTTACAGTAGGTAGCATGAATCCAGGAGAAGACTAAGACATTACCTCGACACCAAAGATGACTTAGCATAATTGGGTTGACAGAAAAGTCAAGCTAATTATAAGATCCCACATCATTAAGATTATATTAACTTGGAAGAAGAAATACATATTTCCCCCTTTAGAACTATCTCAATTAGCTTGCTTGTTTTTCTTCCTTTTCTGTTCTTTCTATACCTACTCATTTATTTTCTCATGTATCCCCCACTTGCACTTCTAAGTCTAATTTTAGTATTCAGTTACTCTTTAATACCACTACTAGCATAGGCAGTCTGTGTTCAAGGCTTTTACTCTCCCGTGATATGTCATACTTAATTAACTGTCACCTTCACTATTAATATTAACTGAAATATTAATTTGATGAATCTTAATTTCTCTTAATCATAGCATCATTTTGATCCTTCATTGGATATCTCTTTAGAATGACACTCAGTGCAGAGGAGAAATATTAATAGCATATTAAGGCGTTTAAAACATCTCTTTAATAATTGCATGTTTTCCTGGCAAGGCTGTGTGTTTCTGGAACAGATGTGGGCACCCTGATTTTCTTGTTAGCAAATGGTGTTTTGTCTTGATCACCTCCTGACTCTATTTTGCACCTTTAAGTGAAAATACTTTCAAATTTAAGAAGTGTTCCTCCCAAGATTAATTCTCTAGAGACTGGTGTGTTACTGGAGTGGCGAGGGCTTTGTGCTATTAATGGAGGGAGGGAAACTTTAAATTTGAAGGTTTAGCTTGATCCTTTGGTAGCAGAATCTACAGAGAGCCAGAACCCAAGAGAAAGGAGCCAAGATGAAGAGCAGATGAAACATAAGGGGAGAAGAAGAGGGAAAGGGAAGAGGAAGGGAGGGGAAAGGCGAAGGGAGAGGGAGGGGGAGGGGAATAGGAGGCGGCGAGGGATAGGAGGGGGAAAGGGAGGGACAGAGAGAGAGAGAAGAGAGAGAGAGGATCTATTTTCTGACCATTCTTACTTTCCTCTCATTTATTAGATTTTTTTTCCTCCTCTTTCCCTGTACCCCTCATCCCAGATAGATTGAACCTGGATAAAGAAGCTCATCACACTGTCCCTTCATCATTATCACATGACCGGCACAGAGAGTATTTTTAGGAAGGGTCCCATCATTCAAGTCTAGTCACCTGGATCCTGGACCCACAGGCAAAGAATTATTCCCAGGCCTCTGGTCCTCACGAGCTTCACTCGTGTCAGCTCCCTCAGTAAAGGGAGAATGCCAGCAGTTCTCCGTCCTTCCCCAGTCCTCCCGGCGCTACAAAGGGAATTCTGAGTCTTTACCCACTCTGTAGCAGCGTGTACCATGAGCCCACTTACCTCCAGGTACACCACCCACGGCATCACCAAAGTGGCCACCAGCAGGTCCGCCACAGCCAGGCTCACCACTAGGTAGTTGGTGGTGGTCTGTAGGGCACGCTCCCTCAGCACAGCTGCGCATACCAGACCATTGCCGAAGATGATGGCCAGGATCAGTGCACAGTAGGTCAGGGCATAGTAGGTGTGTGGGCGGGCCCGGCTGACCCCTGTGGAGTTCTCTGCCCCACAGGTGGAGTTGATGTGGTTGCTGATCTGACTCAAAGGTGCCATAGCCCAGGCAGAGGAATGTGACTCCAAAACGTTTCTAGGAAAAGACGGAAAACAATGTAGGTCAAAGCAGACTCTTTGAAGCTGGGGTATGATATATAGATTCGGTTTAAAGCGTCTACAAATATTTACTGAACATTTCCTATATAATAGCAGGCACTGCTGGAAATGGAGCTAGGAACAAACAGGTAATCCCTTCCTTGTGAAGCCTCCACAGGGGACAGGGGATCTAACAATCAAGATAATGCCTTTTTAGTGATGATATGCATTTTGGAGAAAAGTAAATCAGAAATGGAGCTGGCGTCTGTGGTGTCCCCCGGAAGCCTTCATGCATGTATTACAAAGGAAGTCAAGGCTGGCAGAGGTAAAGAAACTGGGCAGGCACCTAGCAGAGTGTGGCCCAAGCAAAAGGAGTAGGGGCTGCCTCCAGGAAGGGCTGGGGCGTGGGGAGAGTCGCAGGAAGGCCAGCACAGCTGGAGTCTATGAGGCAGTGGTCACTTGTGGTCGCTTGTGTGGGCGACTGAAAGAATCATGCTTGCACCCTGTGTGGGATGCAAGCTGCTGCAGTGTGAGAATTCTCCCGGCCATTTCCTAGCTCCCGGCCATTCACCTCTGAGCTCCTGATTTCATCTCGATAAAAATGGAGGGACAATGGAGCCCATTTCCTAAGATTTTCACCCCAGGCGTTGTGGAAATACTTTATAGGGCAGGATTGAAGCTCAGTGGCAGCACACATAAATCTCACCTCTGGGTTTGACTCCGGTCCCTCAAAAGAGAGCAGAGCTATTCTAGTCATTTACTTTTTTTTTCTTGAGACAAGGTCTCTGTCTGTAGCTTAGACTGGTTTGGAACATGTTGCTTAGGCTGGCATCAGACTCAAGGTGATTCTACTGCCTGAGACCACCAAAGTGCCGAGATCACAGGCATGACGCATCATGACTGGCTTACGAAAGAGCTGTTTTGTGTGTCAGACTCTGGAAGCCATGCCTTGTACCTCAAATGCTATACAAGTACTGTTTCTTTATTTACCTGTTCATGTTAGTTTCCTTTCTTTTCAAATTTTTAATAAAAACGTATTGTGTGTGTGTGTGTGTGTGTGTGTGTGTGTGGTAGTCTGGTATGTACGATATTTGAATGTGTGTATGTGTGAGTGCATGCAATTCTGTGTGCATGTGGAGGCCAGAGGAGGATGTTGACCTTCCTGCTGTACCTCAGTTTACCTTATTCCTTGGAGACAGGGTCTCTCTCCCTGAGCCAGGAGCTAGGCTTGCAGCCAGAGACCCAGAGATCCTCTCTCCTTTTTTCCCTCACAGTGCATGTGGCCACATCCAGCTTTTTATGTGGGTGCTGGGATCTGAACCCAGGTCCTCATGCTTGATCAGCCAGAGCTCTTACCCTCTGAGCCATATCTCCAGGCCTGCTCGAACCTCTTCCGATATATTTGTGACACTCCCCCCCCCCATATCTGTTAGTCTCTTGTAACTTTCTTCAATATCCCTTTCTTTTTCCTGTTTTATACAGGGAGTAATGGGTTTGAGAGACTAGATTAGAGAAGAAAATATTGAGGATTTCAGTTTAGTACAGTGGCTTTTGTATTTATGGGAATTCTACATGTAGAATTTTATTTGAAAGCTCCTAATTTTAAAAGATTAGTTACTAGTTGTAAATGTGTAATCTCTATAAAGCCCCCTACTACCTACCAAAATCCATGGGCCAGTGCAGTGATGACTGGTTTTCAATCTTTTCTAACCCAGCTCGATGCCCTTGCTTTTCAAACAGGGAGGCCAAACCCAAAGACGCAAGGGATACATCCGAAATCCTATGCTTATTACGGTCTTCTACCTCTTTCAGTTTTGCCTTTTAGCATTTGTGAAGCTATAGCAATTGCCTTGCTACTATCCCACTGGGAAAATAAGCCCTCAAAGCATGCAGGGTTGAGCCAGTAGTGGTGATGCATGCCTGTAATCCTAGCTCTTCAGAGGCAGAAGCAGGCAGATCTCTATGCATTCTAGGCCAGCCCCATCAACACAGCGAGTTCCAGGACAGCCAGAGTTACATAGCGAACTCTGCTTAAAAAACAAACAACAGCAACAACAGAAACTAAAGCAGCCAAGCAAACGAAACAAATGAGATTTGGATTCAGAGTGGCAAAGATAACTGAATTTGCTGCACCCATGATCCCATTCTATAGGGACCAGGCTGAAAAGGACTCCGGGTTCTCCAAACCAGATTTTCATGTGTTCGTAGGGCACAAAGGACCTCACTCCTGAAGAAAAGGCCTGTTCTCAGAGGGATCAGTACAGCAGGGCCATGCACCAGAAAAAGACCTGAAGTCACCAGAGAAAGGACCTGAAGTCTGTGGCTTGCAAAACTCAGGTACAAGCAACTACTCCCTCCGTCTCTATGGTCATTCTTGCCTTCTGCCACAGTCTGAATGGTTCGTGTGCAACTGTCTGCTGACCTCTTTAACTCCCTGCATGGTGACGGTACCAAGAGAGATGGGAGTTTAGGAGAGCGATTGGGCTTGAACAGTGGGTCCTTTGGTAGGCCTTAGCTCCCTCCTGCCATGTGAGAACACGGTGTGAAGGCAGATATCTGTGAATCAGACACCGGTTCTGCTGGTGGCTTGACTTTGGGCTTCCTAGCCTCCATAAATGTGAGAAATACACCTCTGTTGTTTATAAGCTTCCTAGGCTGGGGTATTTTGTCATAGCAGCAGCTAACAGGTCTTTTTCTGGCCATATCCTCCATAGATCTACTGGGAATCCTTGACCCCCATCTAGATCATGTTTCTGGATCTAAGAACCCAGAATTTTCTGGGAAATTTGTTGGAGTCTATTTTTCTAGTGCATCAGGACCTCTTTCTAGATCTGAATGTATGTGTGAGGCCTGGGTCCATGTGACTAGCGGTTGGCATTTAGATAAAAAATCTTCTGTGCAGCTGGCTTGGGGAGAGAAAAAGACACAGTCCCCACGTAAGACAGACACACACTCACATTTTATATAAATTTGTGTCATCAAAGCTGGAGTTCCAGGTTGTTGTATTTTGCTAATATGTTTATTAGAAAGTTAACTTTTTTTTTTTTTTTTTTTACTTTTTCCCAAGACATAAGGGTTAAAATTTGTTTCTAAGTTATTTTTGGTAATAGCGTTATGGCACTTAGACACAGCATATATGGGCCCTCGTGAAGAAAGACTTTGCTTTAGGTCTTGGCCAGAGTAGGAGTCAAGTCAGTGTTCGTCAGCTTTTTCTCTCAGTCTTCTTACCTGCAGCTCTCCTTGAATAAAGGGACTGCTTAATCATGGCTATCATTTTACACCTCACTTTGAAACATTTCTCTCTGAAACAAGTGCTAAAATGAACAAATGGCTAGAAAAGGGTGACCACCTTGGAATGAATTCAGAAAACTACTTAAAAATGTTCTTGATCACGGGGCATTGTTTGCAGTCAATATATTTTTTAACACATAATAATAATTCTTGGTAATAATTATAATTTTCTCATTATTAGCAGAAGGGCAGCCGCTACCCTGGAGATAGCGTTGCTGCTGCCAAGAGCTTTCGGAAAAACACAGCGCTTTCTGATTGTTCAAGGATATTCCCAGTTGGAGGCAGGCTCAGGCCCAGAGTACCTTTCCTTTCATAGCTGGGCTACCTTCAAGGCAGGAGCTAGGTCTCCTCATTTCTTAGAGTCTGCAGCTGCTTAATGAAGCCTTACCTTCCTCTCCCCTGTCAAGTAAGAAGAAAAGCAAAAGGCCAAGGGATTCCTGTTACCCTGTTGCCAGGCTTTGTGCTCGGCCCCAAGGACTGACAGCTGCTTTAAGAAAAACAGCAGCAGCAACAACAACAAACAAACAAAAGAAAAGGTACAGGGAATGTCAAGGGCTAATTGTTGGAAGGCAGTCCTCACTTCCGAAGGTCAGTCCTGGACCTGATGCTGGAAGCAAGACTGAATGGATTTTGGTTTGTGGTTTCACATTGTTCTATTTTTGGTCTTAGATTCTTCCTAGCAGTGGGTAGGTAGACTGTGGTAGTTCCAGAGTTCTGGGTGTGAGAGATGAAAGCAGAGATGAATGAGGTATGCCATACTGCTCTCTTGTTCTTGGTTAATTATGTCCACTTTTTTCCCCCCTTGGACTTTTTTTTTCTTTTTGAAATGAATATTTCTTATATAGCTCTGAGCTGGATTTTCCCCCTGTTTATCCTCGTGATAGATGCGATAACAGATAGTGAACTAGTCTCAGGATAAAGCTGAGAGTCTGAAGAATTCATTAACTTAATAATCACTCTCCAAATAATTCATAATGATAGACCTGTTGTTTCATCAGCAGAACGAGGAAGATAAATCATGCCCACTTCATGGGGTTATTGTGAAGCCCAAATGCAATTATATGTGTAAAGCCTTGACACTGCAGACAATTTGGGCTCATAGTTCTTTGTTTTGCAGGATGCCTCGTGCATTGATGATGTTTAGCACTGTCCCTGATCTAGCTACTAGTTGTAATAACAAAAAAACTGGACCCTGATCAATCTCAAGTAGGGGAGGGAACAAAGTTACTAGGAGAGTAACTAGAGAGGGTTGCTCTAGCTTGAGACGTAGCATGTGCTTTTACTGTTGACAGGAAAGTGTGAGACAGCAAATGAGAGAGATAAGACACAATTGCCGATTGTCTGGTGTACTTTGTGATTAGTAGATTACTGATGCCCTCAACAAAGAACTTAGGAGGTTAGAGCATATGGAAAGTGACTATGTACAAAGCGGAAGCTAAGGAGTTGCCTCGCTCAGTGGAGAAGAGCATTTGCTGAAGACCTGATTTCGAATCTCTAACACCAAGGTAAAAAGCTGTAAATGGCTGGGAGAGTGCCTGTCATCCAGGGTTGGGGAGGCAGCAGAATGCTAGGGGTTTGGTGGCTGTCAGCCTAGGTCCAAATTCAATGAAAGACTCAAGGGAATAAGGCAGAAACAAAAGAGTAGAACATCTTACGCCTTCCTCTGATTTCTG